AGTGTGATCATATCCAATAATTTTCCAAAATCCTGCTCTTCCGAGATTTTCGGCCGTTTCTTTATTTTACAAATACTTGAAAAATACAAGAAAATATACAAAAATTTACACAAATACTTAAATATTACAAATTACTAAAAGAAACTAAAAACTACCCAAAATCCCACAAAATTACTAAAAATACATATAAATAATAATAAAAAACATTAATAAAAACATAGCAAAAAATAACACTAACAAACAACCCCACTAAAAGCAGCTGCATTGAACTCCAACCAGTCTCTGTGAGCCATGAGGACCAATTGGTGTGCTGGAACTTGAATATTTTGGAAGAGCCATAGGTTACTTCCAGAGCCACCAAAGCATGTAGGTTGTTAGTTGAATACGAGCTTCTGATGTCTCTAATTTGTTGAGAGCACTCACATCAGACCACCAAACTTTAAAAGAGGAAGGGTGGTGTTTCAGATTATTCCAGGAAACAGGAGCTAACTCCCACACTCTACAGGCTTTAGTACAATGGAAGAGGACATGTTCTATAGTCTCTGGCTCAGCCCACAGGATTTACAGATAACATCTATGTCTAAGTCTTTCTTCCACAACTTTGTTTTAACAGGTAGAGTACCATTTAAGCACTTTCAAATAAAATGCTTAAGTTTACCTGCAACCCTTAGATTCCAGCACCTAGAGAGACCAACACATATGCTACCTAATGATGATATGATTGTTATTATTATTATTATTATTAATATTAAATGTCTAATGATGATATGCTACCTAATGATGACATTAGTTGGCCAATTTTGGTGGGGATCACGGGACGTTGAAAGGAAGTTGCCATGGGTCAAGTGGAGCACGTTAACGTTGTCAAAACAACAAGGTGGCCTGGGGTTCCCTGCCTTCTCAATATTCAATCAAGCATTATTGGGAAAACAAGCCTGGAGAATACTATCATCACCAGAGTCCCTTGTGGCTAGAGTTCTCAAAGCAAAGTATTTCCCATCGGGCCATTTTCTAGATGCGGTAGTTCGGCCGGGCTCTTCTTTCATCTGGAGAAGCATTGTGTGGGGCCGGGAAGTTATTAGATTAGGGGACGGTAAGTCCATCAGAGTTTTCTCATATCCTTGGGTTCCCCATTTCCAAGGCTTCAGGCCATTCTCTCATTTGGCGACGGGCATCGATCGGGTTAGCGAACTGGTTGGGAGGAATGGGGATTGGAACCATGAATTGATCAATCATATTTTCTTGCCAATTGACTCGCTCAAAATTTTCTCAATCCCTCTGAGCTTGACTCCTAATCCTGATCGTATTATTTGGCACTACTCCAAAAACGACGATTATAGAGTGAAGAGTGGATACCATTTGCTAAAACATAAATCATCTAAGTCCAGGGAATCACCTTCTTCTTCCAAAAACGGGTGGTGGAAAGCGTTGTGGAAATTGAAGATTTTACCAAAGTTTAAAATGTTCCTCTGGAGGGTGAGTAACTCGGCAATTCCCTCCGCGGAAAATCTTGCTAGGCGGCATATCGAGGTGGATGCACAGTGTCCCAGATGTTCGGGTTGGGAATCTAACGTTCATATATTTTTTAATTGCGGTTGGGTTAAGTGGTTGTGGAAAGCTTCAGGTTGGTGGGACATTCTTGCTCCATTACGAGGTTTGTGCTTCTCTTCAATCTTTTGTGAGTTACTGGATTGTGATCGAGGGGATGAGTTTCCAAATTTTGCTTCTTTGTTGTGGATTATTTGGAATGAAAGGAACCGCCTTAAACACGGGCTACAAGGTAAAACGGTGGAACAAGCTTGGTCACTAGGATTGACGTGGCAAGAAGAAATCTCAAAATAGCGTTCGGGACGTCTCTTGTCCGACCGGGCTCTGCTTACACCATCAATAGATAGGTGGATTGGCCCTGGGAGTTGCCAGAATGGTCTCACGTTATTTTGTGATGCCGCGGTCCGAGATTCAGAGATCGGGTTAGGAGGATGGATTGGCGACTCGGAAGGTGTTTGTTGGGCGGCTTTTGAAGTTCGCATTACAGGCTCCTTTTTATCTTTCGCAGCAGAAGCTCTTGCCCTCAGGTTTGGACTTCGCTACGTTTTTTATTTGGGGATTTCCATTCAATTTGCTAAGACGAATGCTTTAGCGGTTATTTGTGGCCTCTCTGAATATTTGCCAAACGACTCGTTGCATCATGTTTTTGTGGATATTTTGTCTCTTTTGTTAAACCTTAACTGTGGGTCTTGTAGCTATATTGCTAGAAACAAGAATTTTGTTGCCCATTATTTAGCTAAAAGGGCTTTGTTGTCGTTGGGACCCTTCTTATGGAAGGATTGTCTCCCGTCGTTTTTATCTTCTTTTTTTGGATCTCGTAGGATCTGTACTTTCTTTTGAAGTTGATATGTTTAGTTTTGTTGAAAAATAAAATAAAATAAATAAATGTCTAATTTTTTTAAATGTTTATTATTATTATTAATAAATAAATATTTTGTGATTTATATATATATTGTCCGGTTTATTTTTTCGTTCATTCGCCGGGCTTCGTAAATTAATTAAATGTTGAACCGAACATTTATATTGCTAAGTATCGAGCCCGAGAGACCCGTAAACCCATGCGCCCGAAGCCCTACCCGGCCATCTCTCTCTCTCTTGGATGGCTTGATGACCAAGCTAAATAACCCTAGGATTAAATTTGTGTAACCCTCATCTCTCTCATCTCCTAAAAAAAACAAATACGCGCAGTCAAACCCCGATCTCCTCTCTCTCTCTCTCGTTCACGTCTTGCAAGCAAAAGAAGAAAAGGACCGCTCTCATCTCATCTCTCCCTCGCTCAACTCTCTTCTCTCACTCTCGAAAAAGAAAAAAAAAGAAAGAAAGAAGGAAGGAAGAAGATCGTTGCCACCATCACGAAATCCCCAAGCCCGCGAGTCCCTGTGTAATATCCCGTCATGTTAATAATATAAATCATGTGTTAGTTCCGATATAATAATATTGTCGAGTATTATTTTACGGAATTAATTATTTCAGTCGAGATTATCCAAAATTATTTTCGAAATCACGTTCATGTTCAGAATAATTTCGGAAGTTAAGTGTCATGCTTAGTAATTAATTAAGTTTTTTTTTATTGTGATTAATTAAGTTTAATCATAATTAAATTCATTAATGCCGTAGCAATTGAGATTTTGTTCCATTTTATTAGAAAATGTCGTATGCATTTTATTATTAA